TAGAAGAGACTGGTGCAGCTTATGACATCTGGAAGAAAAAAAAATTCTACTACTCGCATCACTTTGTTGAGTAGCATGAACAATGATTTCATGAAAAAATACCTAGAGTATGAATTAGCAAAGGACATGTGGTCCGCCTTACTGAAGAGTTTGGTGGAATGTCAGTAGCAAAACTTTGGTCACTTATAATCAAGTTTGACACATAAAAGAAAAAATCTGAACATACTATGAGGCAACACTTAAGGTACATGTCAAACATGATTAGTGAGTTGAGAGATGCATGTCATATCCTAACTAATGAACAATAGGTTCAAGCTGTCATAAGATTATTGCCTCAAAATTGGGAATACATGACCCATAATGAGGGCATAAAAAATTTAAAAGATGCCACATGACATTTAAAACTAGAAGAAGATCGCCTTAATGCTAGTAAGGCAAATACTAATGTATATATGACTGGCTCTCGTTCACATGGTAGAAAGAGATTTAAGCATAAATTCCAAGTTGAACCCCAAAGAAGGGGCAACAAAGATAAGGCTCAAGGAAAGGAAAAAAAGTTTTATAAACATGGAAAAGGAAAGAATCTTGTCAAAAAGAAAATCATGGCAAAGGTGAAATACTATAACTTTGGCGAAAAGGGACATTTTGCTCGCAATTATAGCAAGCCCAACAAGGTAAATTACTTGTTTGCATAAGTAAGTTCTATAAATGTTTCCAGCTCTATTTTTCTAACTAAACCTTATCCTTTGTGGGCTGTAGATTCAGCAGCCACAGACCATATAATGAAAGACAAGATGCTTTCATAGAGTTTCGATAAATAGCACAGGAAACAAAGTGGATATATATATGTAACAATTCAAGAGTGGAAGTTAAGGGGATCGACACAGGCAAGTTGATCATGCATGAAGGTTGAGTCCTATACCTACATGACATGTTATATGATAAGAGCTTGAATGTTTATATTTTGTTAATGATTTAATTGGTTTATTTATGGAAAATTGTGTTTAAAGTGTGGAATTTGGATTATTTCTTTCATAAATACCATTTATGGGATCACGAGTGTTGAGTGTTTTCAGGCTCAAACAGGTTGTTGAAGGGAAAAGAATGATGTCGATAGGATTCACGATGCTTAGGAACAAACGGCACAAGAATCAGGGTTGAAATGAGGGAGTTGTGGTACATCGAAGGTGTTACGGAAAATCTGGAAATTCTTCATCATGAGTATGCCTCGATGTTTCTGTCATAACTTGAGCTGTAGAAGTCAGAATTTTTGACGATTTTAGTGGCGTTGGAAAGCTTATTCAGAGAGCTACAATGTTCATGTTTATGACTTCATCTAATTCTGAAGTTTACAGATGCTTTGGACAAAAGGAACGATCGCCGTGGCGACCATTCTTACCGCCGCGGCGATGGGTCACGGGTTTGTGTTAATGCATTACCCTAATCCGAATCTGAATGGGTTAAGTTTTCTAATCTTTTTCCTAAGCACGACCAAGAACCCCAGGGATATAAAAGAGAGTTTTTAAGAAATTAAAGGGGACTTTTGGAGGAGGAAGAAGACGGCTACTAAGTTAGAGATCGGGATCCGGAGAGCTCTCGTTCACTGATTAGAGAAGTTTTTATCTTTTTCTTTCTTGAACTGATGTTGTTGAATAGAATGATGGATTTTGTTATTTTCATTATGAACTAATTTTCTTTTCTAGGGCTAAGATGTAGCCCGATTTATGAATATGTGTTAACTTGGATTGTTGTTAATTCTTATTGAGCTTTTAATTCTAAGTTTTATTATTGTGCATAATGCTTTCAATTCTTAAGGGCCCAAGAGTTGAATGATATCATGGGTTAGGTTGAGATCGAGTGATGAAACCTGATTTGTCTTAGGTAATAAAACCATAGATTGAGGGAACGCTAGAGATAGGTTACCGCGATCTGTGAGGCTCCGGTAAATTCCATAGAGCTTAATGATCTCTTAGCTCCTAAATCCAACTTAGAGATATCTTGGGTTGTTGCTTAAGGGTTAATTTGCTAATTACTCGAGATAAAGTTAGTGGAATAATAGGGGATTTGGCTTTTAGAATACGCTTGATTAGGTTAACAATAGATGTCAACGCATAGGATTAAATTGGTGTGAAATTTATGCCCTAGGTTTAGTCATATTGATTTTCACTTCAAAGTGTTTTCAAATTTTGCCTTTATTTAGTACTCAGCTTTTAGTTTATTTACTTTTTCATTAAATTCATTCTTAAACTTCAGTTTAATCAAATAACAATAGAATATAATAGTTTGGTACTCGATAGGTATTTCCCTTGGGATTCGACACTCCTTTACTCGAGTTTTACTACTTGCACGATTTCGTACACTTGTGAATAGCATGTCATTATATGCACCTGATATTCGTCAAAATTTGATTTTCGTGTTAGAACTCATTAAATTAGGTTTTAATTTAAACTTTTCAAGTACTGGTGTCAATTTGTTTTTGGACACAAATTACTATAGCTGTGGTTATATTTCAGATGGTTTTATTGTATTAGATGTTGATCATAATTATAACAATGCATGTTTTTCCTTAATTACATCTTCCAATAATGATAATGTGAAAATATGACATACAAGACTTGGCAATTTGGCCAACATCAAATGACTATACTAGCAAGAGAAGACTTGTTAGGAAACTTAAAAAAATGTGTAGAATTGTCTACTTGTGAGCCTTGCTTAGCTGGAAAAACAGTAAGAAAACCATTTGGAAATATATTAGAACCTCTTTATAATGATACTTTACATAGAAATAACCTCTAAGTAGTCATAAAAATTTATGGTCCCAACCTGGACCAGTTATAAGTAAGAATAAATTTCACATTGTAATAAGTTATAATTTTTCTAGGTATTTTATTAAGGAACTTGTGTCTGTATAGTAATAATTATATGTATATTGCAAAAAATATATACTATGTTACATTAAAGGTTTAATATGAAATAAAATATTTATCTAAAGTTATTTGGGACAATGATTTATGCTTTAGAGTTGTTATCACATCTTTTATCTTGTTGGTACGTAATAAGTCACTAGCATAGACACTTTCTTGTTGAAGCCAAAATATTTATAGCTTCTCAAGCAAGTTTATAGCTTTTTGGCACGAAACTTTTGGTATTCCCATACTGTCATCCTCAAAATTATCTCCTTCCTCTTATTGTCTAATTCCAGTAATGATTTATTCTTTAGTTGCATACACGACTTATTGCTCATTTGGATGATTGAGGAAAACATTAATATCCATTTGATTAGTATAATAAAGTTGTCAAATTTGATCAATCAATTCATTTGTACTAGTAATGCTCGAAATATTTTATATTTCACATAAGGTGGTTCATGTATTAATTTTATCCTATGGTTGTTTTGAAATAATTAAATTAACTGAAAGAAATGATGGTCATTTACCTTTGATGGTGAGGTTACTGTAGTTAATTAAATAACTGCAGTTTGAGAGTTATTAAAATTGCCATATAAAAGAGGTATTCTCTCTCTATTCCCAAATTAATTCATTACGTATATTTTTCTTTTTCCATCAAAAGAAGAAATTGATAGTAAGGGAATAAAGGGAGAGATATACAATGCCTTCTTTCACAATCTCATAAAAGATTACTCATGGATTCAGGTATGTTTTATTGTTTTTATAAATAGTGAAAGTGCATCAAAGTTTCAGATCTTGGGATTTAAGATTATGCAATTTTAGGGCATAGAAATATGATTATATTATTGATTCTTTGCCGTTGATGGAATTGATAAAATTGCTATTAAGTTTTTTTACATGTGGTATCAGAGCATTAGATTTAGAAACTGATGTATTTTCCATTAAGTTGTTTTTTAAATATATTAGGGTTCTTATGGGATGAAGAAATTGAATTGGGTTTGGAAATTGACAAATATAAAGAGCTGTTAAATTTGATTGGGTTTTGTAAATTTGATTAAGTTTGTGAATCTATTAAGTGGCTGGAAAGTTGGCAAAAATTAGATTTTCTCATGATGAAATGTGATTTTCTAGATTAGTTTTTTCAATAAAAATTTCCAAAAATTTGGATTCCAATTTTTTTCTAGAAATTCGAGTCAAATATTGACTCATATGTTGATCAATCACATTTTTCCTTTAAAGCCTATTTGTTTTAATTTATATAAACCCAAATAAAAGAAGCCCAAGCCATATTTTTAAGTGAGCCCAATTCAAACCCAAACCCATTAAGAAAATTCTAACACAAACCCATTAAGAATAACCCATAAAGAAGCCCAACCCATTTAGTCAAATAGGTAAACCCGATCCAATCAGTGATTCAGATCGATAAACAGGTCAAATTGCTCTAAACCATTGACTAAACCGATCAATCGTCAAAGTTAACGATCAACCGTTAGCGGTCAATTGTCAAAGTTAGCGATCAACTGTCAAAGTTAATGGTCAATGGGTTAAATTGACCCAATTTTGACCTTAGATAATATTATAGTTATTATTTAAGTTTGATATTATATTATGTATAATTTGTTAGTCACCAAAGTGGCCACATTAGAATGGTTATCCCATAGATATCAAACTTACTCATGATCGTTAAATGCTTTAAAGAGATGACATAACGTAGTTGACATGAGTAATTTAAAATTCATAAATTATAAGATAGTTAAGGATCGCTTAAAGGTAGATTAGTCAATTCTATAATTATGAACATAATTGTAGTTAATTAATATACTTGACTATGTGTGTTTAGTATATCCAAAGATAACAAACATATCTAATGAAAGTACATTTGATTACAAATTAAGAAAATAATATCAATTAAGTTTAATTATCGTATATTGTTATATCTCCTAAATGAGATTTCAATATTCATTTATGTTTTAATAATAATAAATTCTAATATATGAACCTAAAATTATGTATTATTTATAAATAAATTCTAATGTCTGTTGTATAATCCATAAATTTGGCCCGAGTATACCGCTCATTGTCATGAAAATCTTAATCTCCCCAATGGAGTTGTACATCTATCCAGTATTTATTGCTTGCTTTCTGGTCAAACATATCCTTTGACTCGGCGACAAGACTAGGCTTTGACATTGGCCATCGATGAGCAGCAAATGGGAGAATATATGCACAAGAGCTGTTCATTTTGTAACTCTTCCTTGAATGGATTGTTTCTTTCTGCACAGTTTCAATTTCCAAAGCATCCAACTCCTGATCCAAGACCCCACAGAGATCCATCACCACACTCTCATGAATCTTATGCCACAAATGAGCACGGAAGATATGAATCAGAGATATCTTCAAGGTAGGAATCTTCCCATGCATGAAAATTCCAGTTAAATCCAACTGCACTTGGAAACCCACATAGACATTGGCCCTATTTATCGTAGGAGACCACCAGAGAGTGAATCGACGGTTAGGAATTTGGTTCAGACCAGATCTCTGTGCATTAGCAAGCTTCTTATATTTCATCGATTCCTCAAAACCTGATGCCTTTTCCCATGCTAATGGATGTACGTCCGCATATAATGGATACATGTCCATACTTGGAATAATATGCCGTAAGGTAAGGACGGTCATCCATAACTGATGAATGAACATCCTTGCATCTTAGTATTTTATTTCAAGTATAGACGAGCGTCCATTGTATGTGGATGCCCGTCTATTATTTAGGGACAGTTATCCATAACATATGAACAGTCGTTCATTATTTTTGTTAATGTGTTTTTTTCATTTACAGATGAAGGAGCGTCCATGTTATGTGGACTCCCGTCCATAGTAAATGGACTCCCGTCCATATAATATGGATGGGAGTCCATCCTAAGTGAACGAGTTCACTCACAAAATATTTGATAAATTTATACGTGGCTGGTCTGAGTCACGAGACACGTAATTCGGTAAAAAAATTTGGTATATAGTCCCGGTGTCTGTAGCATTATTGTTACATTTTTAGGCTAGTTTTTAATTAACAACCTCAATTAGGGTTAAACAATATAATTTCTCAAAAGTTTTTTTTATAAATTAGTTATGAATATACATTTATGTTTTAATAATAATAAATTATTTTCAATATAATGTTCATTTGTTGGAGACAGAGTTATTTGAAGTTGAAATGTTAGAAAAGTCTTTTAATTTTTATTTGTGTTGAAATGGACAAAACCAGTTAGCAAAATTTTGCTCTCACAAAAACTTGAAAGACTATGAACATGTTGAAAATTTTTATTTATTAGAAGAAAAAGATAAACATTCAAGTTTTTCCCATTTGTATGAATATATGAATTATAAAATAAGAATCACAAGTGCGTTTGTCACATTATTTCTACCTATATTTCCGAATATTATTTGGGACATTATTTGAGAAATATTAGTATATTTTTTAATTATTTTTAGACCCCTTAAGTTTATTAATTTCATAAATACCCCTAGAAAAAAGTTTAAAAATTAACAAAAACACCCCCTAAACCCATACTTGCCAGATTCCGACAATCACGGTCGGTGGTAGCCGGAATCTGTCACAACAGCCCACACCACGACTGAAATTGGCCGGTAATTCACCGATTTAGCCATCGCTAAATGGCCATCGTTGACCGAGAACGACAACCATATTTTTGGCTGTCGCTAACGGCTAAAGATGGACTTTCGCGGCCGTCGACGGCCAGATCTAGCCGTAGATCTAGCTTTTTCTGACCAGATTCGTGGTGGATCTGGTCGAAAAAGGTCATATCCATGTCCTACCCGACAGATTCGACCGGTCTCTATCATAACGCAATTTTTCGGTAAGATTCCGATGGTGGTGGCTGGAATCTGGCACTGCGGGTGGTGGCNAAATTCACTAAATAATACTCTATATATATATATATTTGCCACAAAATGATTGAGGGCTGGCAATGGCACCAAAACCATCCCCACACTTTGCCCTCCTTGTCGCTCACGCAAAACATGACATGTTCCTATATTATAATTAGTAGGCGAATATTTGCATTATAATAAGCATTGTTTCCCCTTTTTCGTAAGATGCAGTTCAATGTGATAGTATAACTGACCTATTATTTTCAAAGTCATTCCTCTAAGGTACAATAACAATATCATTGTGGTTAATTTAAACACAACGCGAATGGCAACTTGAGTTAAATACGAACTGAAACAAAAAGAGAAATTTGTGTCATATAATCTTCAAGAGTAGTACTTTTCTTTTCCCTTTAATTTAATTTAATAATGTGCACGTTCATGATATATATATAACCTTGCTAATGTTTGGCTCTGTTTCCTCTGTTTTGTCAATGATCATTAGTTAATCTCTGTCAGTTACTATTTCATTGAGGTGATAAACGTTTCTCAACTTAATATCTAAGTTGAAAAGGATTTTTACTTATGATGCCTAAAAAAATCCATACCTAGGTGCCAGACGTCGACAACTTGTTTGGAACATTTTCTTGCCCTTTGGAAACGATTTTTGAATATGATATATGAAGAGGACTTACACTAGCTGCCATGGTGACTTGTAGAAAGAAGCTGAGTTAACTGACTATAGCTTGATTGCTTGTCCAGGGAAACAAATGAGAACCACCGAACACCTCCTGAAGAGATAAGAGAAAATTCTTCTCGAAAAAACCGAGTCAACAGTCATTCTACTTTTCTCACTGCTAAAGACTGTTTGTTCATCGAGAGCCATAAACTAGACTTACTACCCATCTCGTACTATTATACTGCTAGCGAATGAAAGTCTGGGTAAGTTTATAAGTCTTGGTCTTCTCAATATAGAAGACGTATGAGAACAGTAGCGTGAGCCCAAATATTAATTAATAAAAATAATAATTTTCAAATTTCCTTGACCCTTTCAAATTTAATTATTATATATTTGAATAATGTTAAAATTCATGGTATATATTTAAAATGAGGAGAGGATGAACATTGAAGTAGTAATCAGACTCTTCAAAAATTAGAATAACATTTCTAGCAAATATGGTAACAGCAAAAGTTAGAAAGCTGTAAAATTTAAGTTAATATCCTTCTTCTTTTCATTGATAATTATTCTACATTGCTTCTATTTTCCTCTGTTTTGGCCCATGTTCTTTATTCAATCTCTTTCATTTACGAGTCTAATTTTTTAAACAAGACATTTGCAACTGTCAATGCAGGAGTAACTTGTTTGGCAACTTGTAGACTGTAACTTAGTGAATAGACTAAAGGTTGACTACTTGTTAATGAGAACCACCCAAAACACTGAAAGAGATAAGAGATCAAAGAAACTTTAAATGAAAACAAGTCAACATATATACTTTCATCAATCCAAATTAGTGCCCTCTTATGGTGACTATTTCATCACTGCCAAAGACTATTTGTGCATCTTGCTGTGATGAAAAAAACTTACTGTCACATCTCATATTACTAGTCAATGAAGTTCTAGGCCAATTTATAACTTCCGGGTAGGGGTGTTAAAAAAATGTAAAAACCAAATTGAACCGAAAAAATGGTTTGGTTACAGTTCAAAAAATTCAAAAAACCAGATTTTAGGTTCGGGTAAAAATGAAAACTGGTTAACCAAAGCTGGTTTTTTGAACCGGTTTACTAAAATATACATTTATAATAAAAAAATAATATATATTATATATTAAATAAAAAAATAATCTTAATCCCTAAATTCACTAAATAATATATTATATATGTATGAATGTTTAATTTTAATTTAGATATGTATTGTTGATGCTTATAATTTAATTTAGGAAAAAAAAAATGCTTTATCTAATAAAAAGAAAAAAACTGTTCAAAACCGGTTAACCAGTTTTTTTAAAGCGGTTAACCGGTTTTTCAGTTCAAGAATTTTCCTAAACCGAAAAACCTGTTTGGTTCAAGAAAGCAGTTAACCGCTTTTGAACACCCCTACTTCTGGGTCCACTCAACTCAGTAAAAGTATTTTGGTGAAAAATTGTTATGTGAGCCCAGAAAGAATTATGTAACTCAATTTATAAGTATTTTGCGTGTATGCAACCATAAAACTGAGTCAACTGACTTATACCTTGCTTTGCTGCCTAGGCAAACAAATAAGAACCACCCAAGCATCGAAGAGATAAGAGATTATTCTAATAAAATTCAATTCCAAAAACCTGCTTGTAATAAGAGAGTGTCCAGGTGGTTAGTAACCCACATGCAAAGCCATTTCTAGCGATGTGGGACTGAATCTAAGTCTGCTTGTATTTCCTCAATCGAACATTATCACTTGTACACATTTGCTGTTTTGTCGAACCATGTATATGGTTCTCTTGCTTGTGTGTTCTTATTGCGTTGTTTGCTTATCTACATAGTTGATTGTTAGTAATCTTGGGTCTGGAAGCAGTTGTTTCAAGTTTGGGATTCGAGTTTAGCTCCCACACACCAACTGTTCAATCAATTGCANAATACAAACATAACATAAAACATTTGATCCTAACAACTAATGTGCTCAAACATTATAATAAAGAAACTGCAACACCAGAAAAGAGATTAAATGAATGACGTGTAGAAGTCCTATTATTAGTGAATCTTCTCTTTGTTGTAATCTAATCCAACAAATGATGAGCTCTCTCATATATAATTTCAGGTGAGATACCAAGTGAAATTGGTAATCATCATAATCTGCAAGTTTTGTTGCTTGGTTTTAACAACTTAGTTGGTTTGGTCCCAACAACTGTCTTCAATATCTCAACGATGGTAGTACTTGGAATTACCCAAAATAAACTCAGAGGAATGATTCTTCCATCAAACATTGAATTTCCAAATCTCGAGGAACTTTACTTGGGGGCTAATGATTTTAGTGGGACACTTCCCAACTTCATCACCAACTTATCCAAGCTCTCCATTCTAGATATTGCAGGAAACTCATTCTCAGGTTTCATTCCTATTACAATTGGCAATTTAAGAAATCTTGAGTGGCTTAATTTGTCGGATAATTTCTTGACATCTTATACACCAAATTTGAGCTTTCTTTCCTCTTTGACAAATTGCAACAATTTAAAACATCTACTGGTAGAAGGAAATCCGTTGAATGGCATCCTTCCGAGTTCCATAGGGAATCTCTCTACTTCTTTGAAATATGTTTACATGAATGATTGCAATATTAGTGGCAACATTCCCAAAGAAATCAAAAACTTAAACAACTTGATAGATATACAGCTACAAAACAATGAATTGATTGGGTCTATCCCAGTTACACTTGGTGGGCTACAAAAACTCCAGGGTTTGAACCTTGGAAATAATAAATTAGAAGGATCTATCCCGGATCATCTGTGTCATTTGAATCAATTAGTTGACTTGAAACTATATGGTAATAAGATTTATGGATCCATACCTGCATGCTTGGGTAATCTCAATANATAAAGCTTCCAATTAGGACCAAAACAACCATAAAAAGTAGCCCTAAAGCATTTAACCACTTTTGTTAACTAGATAGCAACTAAACTTAAACTAATTAAAATATCAACTTCAAGATCATGTGAGTTGCAATTGATGTATCATATTAAAATAATTAGAGTTTTGAAATTGTCAGCCAGCTCTTAAGAGGGACAATG